AAAAGCTTAAGAGATATCACATTAAGAAAGAGAAATAGCAGTATTAGCCACTTTAATAATTGCCATCAGATGAAGCTTCACTCTACTATGATAAAAATTACCATGATGTTGACAAGATTTTGTCTTGCACTAATCTATTTCCAGTAGTTCATCCTCACACATCTATGAAAATCAATGATACCTGGAGGGAAAGATGTGTAGACATATTGCAATTTCTAGCCTGTTTCTCAAAAGAAAATCATTTTTATGGAGTCCCATTTTTATTTTTAAGGGGAGATGATAGTCTAGTAATGGATTTTACAACGATCAATAATAAGCTATATACAATAACTCAAAATTAACCATAAAATACCCAATAAACCAATCTAGCTAATGCTCAGTAGAAACTTTAATAATAACTGTAAAATCAATAGCAGCCATATAATGCTTAATTATTTTGGAATGATCTTGGCTAAATCTTTAAAGAAAATATTAAGATATACTACGAAAGAACAAAGCAGAGAATTTTTCTTGATACTTTAAGAGAGGCAGCCTACCATCTTTATAATGAATGGCATTCGTTAATCTAAATTGGAGAGCCATTTGATCCAACAAGCATTGATTAAGATAAATTATATCTGGAGGACTTACAGAACTTGCTCAGTACATACAAAGAAAATTTTGATAAGGTCAACAAGGCTGAACCCTAGTTTATATAAACAATGATGCCGCTCAAATAAAAAATTAAGGGCTTAGTAGATAGACTGAAAGATCTCTTCACTAGAAATTCCTCGAAATTTGATAGATTCGACATTCACGACAGGAATAGTATTTGTCAAAACTCAATTACATTTCTTGATAGAGCATAAGATGAAACACTTCTAGAATCTACCTTAAACCTAATAAAAGTAAATTTAAAGAAGAAAAAGGAATTGAATTAAAACAATGAGGAATAGATTAACAAAATTTATCTAAAAAAAGAAGAAGACAAATTTAAAAATTAGCCAAAAGATTACTCTTGGTTACTTAACTCTGATGACACAATAGAAGAAATAATTAGATACAATTTCTTTCAGCCAGAAGAAATTACTGCAATATTTTAAGATATTAAAAAGCATATTGACCCTATTGTGATAGCACATGGGAGCATCTCTCCAAGATTAGAAATGCAGAAGTTAAGATAAAAGATTTCGAAAGATTTAATAGATCATTAAATAATAATGGAAGATAAAGAATGCAGGGATTTAGTTATGCTAATAAATAGCTGATCAAATAAATTGAGAAAAAGTTATAGATAGGTAAGAAAATTGATTCCAAAAATTCTGATGAAACTTAAACTAGAGAACTCATTAATAAATTATTGAAGACTGAAATTAAGATAATGAACTCAGGCTACTTTTAATATGATTTCTCTGCGAACCTTGTTCCTTAGTTTAGAATGGGTTAATAAATGAAGGACTATCAGATATCTGGATTAAATTGGATGTTAAGAGCATTTTAAGATAATAAAAATGTGGTGTTAGCAGATGAAATGGGGCTTGGCAAGACTATACAAACTATGTCATTTCTTGATCACCTTGTAAAAATATGGAAAATAGGGGGTCCATTCATTGTCATTGCTCCTTTATCTACTCTTGATCATTGGAAAAGAGTTGCTGAGGAATGGACTTATATGAATGTAGTTGTATATCATGATATCAAAGGGTAAGAAGGGAGATAAGAAATTTAAAAATGGGAATGGTATTATACAGATATTACCAATAAAGGTACATTGCAAGAAGTTCCATTTCTTTTTGTTGTAGTAGATGAAGCTCACAGATTGAAAAATAAATAGACTAAAACTCTTCAATTACTTAAATAGCATCCTTGCAGAAAAATTTTGCTTCTAACAGGAACTCCAGTTTAAAATAATACCAAGGAGCTTTTTACACTTCTAAATTACATAGAACCAGATCACTTCAACTCATTTGAGAAATTTATGGATTAATATGGAAAGCTAGAAACCGCTGAGCAAGTTGAAAGATTGCATACAATGCTAAGGCCACATTTCTTAAGAAGAATGAAAGATGAAGTCGAAAATTCTATTCCCCCACTTAAGGAAACAGTTATTGATGTTGGACTTACTTCATTATAAACAACTTATTATAAAGGAATATATGGTGAGAATCTCTCAGTTTTGGCTACTTTAGGTTCTAGTAGTATGAAAACATCGCAACTTAACAATATTGATATTTAACTTAGGAAATGTTGCAATCATCTATATCTTTTGAAAGGTGTAGAGGAGGAGTTAGTTAAAGATTGTAAAACAAATGAAGATCATTTAAAGAAAATGTTAGATAGTTCAGGTAAATTGGTTCTACTTGATAAGTTTATTGATAAATACAAATCAGAAAATCACAAGATGCTTGTCTTCTCTTAGTTTAAAGGAATGATAGATATTATCAAAGATTTTTTAGTAATGAAAGGCATTAGATATGAAATGCTCACAGGCAGTGTTAAAAGTTAAGATAGAGGAGTAAGTATAACAAGATTCAATGATGATAATGAATTCGGCGTATTCCTCTTAACTACTAGAGCGGGAGGTTTAGGCATAAATTTGACTAGAGCAAGAGTAGTAGTAATATTTGATTCTGATTGGAATCCTTAGAATGATCTCCAGGCTATAGCAAGAGCTCACAGAATCGGTCAGTAATTTGAGGTTAGTGTTTATAGATTTATTACAGCTAAGACATATGAGTAATAAATGTTTGAAAGAGCTAGTAGAAAATTAGGTATGGAATAGGCTTTATTTTAAAAGGGTGCTTTTGGAGATAAAGACGGGGATCTTCCTCCAGATTTAAAAGCTAACCCAAAGGAAATTGAAAATTTATTGAAATATGGGGCTTATGCATTCCTTGATGACGGAAGTGGTGAAAATTATAATAATGCTCACATTGACGAAATTTTATAGAAAAATACAGGAAAATAAAGTAGAGAGTATAAGCTTAGCAAAGGCTAATATACTTTATAAAAATCTTCATTCAATGTTGAAAGCAATTCGGGACGTAATTCTGCATCCAAAAAAGGATAGGTTGATGTTTCAGATCCTAATTTTTGGGAGAAAGTTTTACCGTTTGAAGGTATGAATCCAAAGCAATTAATGAGAAAATTTAAGAATAAGAGGGCAGATATACTTTCCTCCAAGGAGAATTAATCTAAATTTATGAAAGAAGTTTCAAAATGTATCAAAGATATATTAGATGCTAAAGCAGTAAACGATTCACTATAAATTGACGAAGAAATCTATGATCTGCTAAAGAAAATTTAAAAAATGAAAGATATGGATAATAAATATAGAAATAAGGCTTAGTTATTAATGACTAAATTAATACATTTCAATGATTACTAAAATACTATAATAAGAGATGAGAATAATGGTGAGAAAATTGAAGGAGAAAATGGATTTGATTATAATTTGCTTGGAAAAAGAGTGCTAAAGAGGTCTGCTAAAGAGAACGTTGACTATAAAAATAATGGAATAAAGGATGCTGTAATTAAGAAAAGAGATGCCAAAGGTAAATCTAAAAAAGACCTGCTATTAGGGTCATCTGAATTATCTAGTGAATAAAGTGAAAGTGAAAATGATCTCAATGGGAGGGCTAAAAGATTAGGTAGGCTTTGCAAAGATAAGAAAAGCAAAGACGATGAAAAAGAAAGTCAGGATTAGGAAATGGAAGACATTGAAGGAAATGATGATGCTGATGAATTAGATCCTGACTTAAAAGATGAAGAAATAGAAGAGGAACTAGAAAACTTTGATGAAGAGGAAGATCTTGAAGATGAACTAACTAAGGAACTGAAAGGCCCCGATAAAGATGAAAAGAAAAGTAAAAAGAATAAACATAAAAAATAAGATGATGATGATTCAACTAATGATTTGGTTAAGTTGAAAAGCAGAAATTATTGCACAATATGTGAATAGATAGAGCCATAAATTGATGTAAAGTGCAGCAAGTATTGTAAGAGATGCGTTCACTTTAAATGCATCTCAGTAGATTAAAAAGATCTCAAAGCAATGAAAGAGGGTCAGCTTAATTGGTAATGCAGTGACTGTGAGAAAAATTAAGCTGAGTGTTTTGTTTGCAGAAAAGTTGGAAAAATTTTTGATAAAAACTCGCAAGGTGTTCAAATTGAGAAAGTAAAAGGTGATAAGCCTGAGAAAGTTGATAAAAAAGTACTAATAAAATGTGGCTAAGGTTCTTGCTCAAAATACTATCACGAGACTTGCCTAAAAAATAGTATTGCAAATCAGCAAAGAGTAAAATAAAAGCCTAATAACATAAAATGTCTACTTCATTATTGCTTCAAATGCCAATTGCCAGGAGAGAAAATGGTTGAATGTATTAAATGTCCTAAAGCTATACATAAGAAATGTCTCGAAGGCAATATTAAAACATGCCAATTGAGAATATCAAAACGATTTATGATTTGCAAAGATCATAAAATAAAGACTTAATAAACAACCCTAGATAGTATGACATAAAAAAAGGGAGTAAGCAAAACCAATGAATAAACTTCAAAAACTTAATAACAATCTACAGATAAAAAAAAGAAATAAGGATAGGGCACAGTTATAATTAACATGAAAAAAGATTAAAAAAGTACATCTGACTGTGATGAAAATGAAACTTTAAAACCCTGAAAAAAAATGACTTAATTTTCTTAATTTTCTTTAAAATTATCTTCAGATATCTATCATTAGGGGTTTGGGGTTTTGGGGTTTTGGGG